ACCAGAGGTGCTTTAGGGAAGTACACCTGTGCAGGAAGCCAGAGAGGATAGTTTGCTCAGTAGGGAATCGGAATGAAGGGAATGCGTTGCATAGTTTTAATGATTGATTATTATATCAGATGAAGCATGCCTGGGCTCTGGCTAGGTAGCTCAGCTGGTTAGAGCATAGTCTCAATACACCAAGGTTGTGGGTTCGATCCTCAGTCAGGGTACATACAGGAATCAACCAATAGATACACGAGTATGTGAAACAATAAGTTGATGTTTCTCTCTTTCTTTCTCCTTAAAATCAATAAATAAAAATTTAAAAAATATTAAGCAGTCCAGGTGTATCTAGGATGATTCTTTTCTGACCAGTGCTGGAGAAATAGCTGCAACTGCTCAACCCTTGGATTGTCCCTTCCTATGATAGCTGTCATCCACCTGTTCTGTTCACACAAAATATAATACTATAAATTAGGCTTTGGTTTTAAAGAGACCAATATAATCATAGTAAATGTAAATCTTTGGTCTTAAAACTTTTTTGATAAATCCCAACCAGTGACAGCAGAAAGAGTCTTTTGTCTTCCATTTCCAAAAATAGACAAAACAAATTCTCCTGGCAACCTGGCTGTGTTCTAAAAAGAATGGATCTAGTAATCAGTAGATTTATCAACTAGCTTCTAAGGAACAGAATGTGGCAGAAGTGATGAACTATCCCTGCCAATATGAGGTTGCAATATCAATAGTAATCAATATCTGTACTAAATAAAAGCCTTGGTGGCCCTTGTGCCCTCACATCATCACAAGATGGCCACCCCCACATTGTCACGGGATAGCCCTCACAAGATGGCCACCACAGGATGGCCGGCGAGGGAGGGCAGTTGGGGGCGATTGGGCTGGCAGGGGAATAGTTAGGTGTCAATCAGGCCTGCAGGGGAGCAGTTAGGAGGTGATCAGGCTGGCAGGAAAAAGCGGTTAGGGGCAATCAGGCTGGCAGGCATGTGAATGGTTAGGAGCCAGCAGTCCCAGATTATGAGAGGGATGTACAACTGCCAGTTTAGGCCCAATCCCAACCTAAACTGGCAGTCGGACATCCCCCGAGGGGTCCCAGATTGGAGAGGGTGCAGGCTGGGCTGAGGGACCCCCTCCCCCCCGCAGTGCACGAATACCTGCACCAGGTCTCTAATATACATATAAGAGAGCAAATGTGGAGACATGTCAAGCCGTTTCATCAAACCTGTTTCTTAAAACTTCATCCCCTATAATGAAAACACAGACATTAACACACCAAAACAAAACAAAGAAAATGAAAAATCTCTTTCATAGGACTACAACAAACTTGGATTTTTATGTTCAGTGTATTTTATATGTTATCTTTTATATTTTTGGCTAAAAATGTTAGTCTGAATCTTAAATTCTGACCAATACACAAACATTCTTGATTAAAATATAATTAAAATTTTAATGAAATTCAATTCATTTGAAATGTAAATTTTAAAATCTTGGTTTATAATGTTTCGTAGGAAAACCTTTTTTGAGGTAGGAATGAAGATAATTATGTTTGCTTCTCCTCCCCAGTCAGTTTAGATTCTGAACTAAAGGGGGGTTCACTTGGGGAAAGTGCTGACAGTGTTCCTAGGACCAGAGGGAATACCCTACACTCATATTGAAAAAGAAATAAAGAAGGTAAATTCAAAAGCATTAAGTTCCAAGTCATTCATTCATAATTCAACAGACATACTAAATTTATTATATGCTAGGTGCTCTTTTGGTGCTAGGGATATAACAGTGAATGACTTACACAAAATATCCTTAGTTATGGAGCTATTTTGGCATGGAATACATGTGCCAGATAATAAATAAATAGATGTTAGGTAGTACTAAGTGCTATTATCATAATAAAACAAGATTATGCGATTAGATGATGGGAGTAGAAGGGTAGAGAATGGCCAGTTTTGTCTGTGTGGTGTCTCGGTATCTGATGTACTCCAGAAAACTGTTTGATCCACAGTGTTTTAAATAGGTTTTTAATTAATTGTCAATTTTTAATATTTGGGAGATTTCACATAAAATCCAGAGTTTTACCTTCTCTTAAAAAATCAGAAGATACAATTATGGTGGATCGGTATTTCTGTATGGCAGCAATTTTCCTTTCAATGGGAAATGTCTCTCTTTTCTTCATAAGCCCCCTTTTCCTAGCAGAGCTGCTGCTCTCATTTGCATTACTGGCCGGCTTCTGAATTCTGAAGAATTTTCAAGTCCTGCGCTAGTCAAAGACCAGGGGCCAAGATATGGTGTGGAATGGATCCAGGGCATCTAGAAAGTCATGAGCTGAGGGGCAGTGGAGAGCAGGCCTGGAGACCTACTAGTATGTGGACATCTGAGATCACTTTTTTGCCTTGTCCCAATACGTCCCATATTGTCCCAATATGGGCTTGTAATGATATACAGAGTCCGTTTTTGGAAAGTGTGCAGAGTGGACCAGAGAGTTTAGTATGATAGATAAAAGAATCAACTGGTAGCCAGGTTCTGCTGCTATGTAGCAATATAATTTCACATGATCACATGTTTTTACATGATCACACATTTTTCTAAAATGGGCAAAGTGAGATATTTTAACCACTGTTTTCTTTCCACTCAGACTTCTGATCTGTTAGACTTTCCCTAGTATCAGATGGCATTGGCATGGCAATGGCATTTTTAGAAGCCAGCTGAGGAAAATTGCGTTGGGAATATGTCACTTTAACTGCAGTATTTGGAAAGTCATTTTGGAGTGTTTTAGCAAAACTAGCCAGGAATGGTAGATTTTTAATTTGGAAATGTATGAAGACTAGGCTCTTTGTCAGTTTTAAACTTATTAAAGAACTGATAAAAATTCTGATAGAAATTTAATGGCATATGAAACAAAAGGGATAAAGAAGAACAGTAAAATCAATGGAAAGTATTCTGATATTGGTCAAATGGTGACAAGAGTATTTACAGAGCGTGCGGGGAGCATGCGGCCGCCGCGGGAGCCTGGGACAGGAGGTGCGTGCGGAGCTGGGGGACAGGCCCCACGACTACCCAAATCCGCCTGCCAAGAAGGGGGCGCGAGCCCGGGAAGGCCGGACCCCATGCGGGAGCTGCACGCCATTGGGACTGGCTCGGCCTGGCCTGCAACTCTGGGGCCGCAGCAGGCG